CCCCGGAGGAGGCAGACCCAGCCCTAGCTTTGCTTTGTCCCGTCCGAGCATTGAGATGCTACGTAGACAGGACGCAAAGCTTCAGAACCTCAGACCAGCTTTTTGTCTGTCGGAGGCCGGCAAAAGGGAATGCCGTCTCTAAGCAGAGGATGGCCCACTGCATAGTGGATGCCATCACCCTGGCTTATCAGGCATCTTCTCACCGAGAAGACCCCCGGAAATGTCCGATCAGGGTCGTGCTGTCCTTTCTGCAGCAGGGGTTGGAGCGAAGGCTGTCACCCTCCACCCTTAAAGTCTATGTGGCTGCGATTGCTGCCAACCACGTGGAGCCGGTATCCTCCTGCGTTATCACCTCAAACGGGTAGAAGCACTGAGAGGCCCTGGCTTCGGGTTTTGGCTTGATAAAACCGCTCCAGAGAGTCCATATCGTAGACCCTGTCGAGCTCCTCCTTCCCCTCGGCAGCCAGACGTGGCGGAGCGTCCGGCGCCAGGCCCTCACTTGATGAATCTGTGAGAACCGGTAGAGGGCTGGGTTCCATATGTAGAGACCTAAGTGGATCCATTATGTGTAAAATCTACGGTATAGCCTCAGAGCCTGTGTTTCCCCGGCAGACTTTCTGCTATTTTCAAAGAGGGTTACAATCACCTCTAATCTTCCATATGCTCCTAGACGGTTGTTCATGTGTGTAAGTGCTTCCGAAACCTCCTTCGGGAAGGATGGGCTTCCGCAATGTTCCGGTTCCAAGTGGAACGGGCACATTTTCCCAGTGTTATACAGTCTTACTGAGTGGGTAGTGCCATAGCAGCAGTAACTGGTCTTCTTCTGGTAAGCCCCGGACTACGCAAAAAAGGAGGGGCGCAGGTGGCTTCCGCAGGACACTGGAAGGGGCAGTATCCGTGGCACTTTGGTAGGGATCCCAATTCGTCGGTCACCGACGTGACGTCGGTTTAGTTTACACTCGAAGTAGATTGGTCTCTCTAAGTGAGATCCCAATTCGTCGGTCACCAACGTGACGTCTCCGTTCCCTCCTTCAGGTAACGAGGGTTACATATGTAACCGAGACGTTTTTCTTACTGTAGATTATACCGAATAATGATACCTAAATTCACTTTTAGCATTTAAAACGATTGATTGTTTTGAGTGTTACTATTTTATTTTAATTGTATTTTTTGACAGAATTGCATAGAATTTAAATATCATCCATGTATCATTAAAAAAGTTTATCTAATCTAATCTAATCTAATCTAATCAGTTTTTCGTACATAACATTAAAATAATTGTAAGTATCGGCCAGAATTTCCCAACTAAATAAAGGAAAAACAGAGTCGACACAATTTGATTCACTGATTCAGAATCAGTAACCAGTCCTTTAACACTGTACTAGAAGTTAAATTTAGCACAATAAAAAAATAAATAATGGAGAAATCAGACTTACAAGGCATAACATTTTATTATGCAGATAAATACCATAACTTTTCAAATTACAGAAATACGTGGGGCTAACCCATGGGCTTGAAATGAAACCGAGATGATTTTTGCATTCAAGGATTCAAAAAGAATTCCTGCATCCTCAGCATTTCAAATCACACTGAATCATATATAGGCTTAGAATCTTAATTCTGATGTGTGAGATGCAATGCTTGATATAAAGGAGCTATACTGCTTTTGACAAAATACAATTGTGCATTTCTATAGAAAAATATCTTAGAATTGATTGTAATGGCTGTGCTCTGTAAAAATGCTTATAAATAGAATAAACCTTATATAGTATATAAATGTTTTTTGTTTGTGCAACATTTGTTTTTAGAAAAATAACACCATGTCCTGCCCTGTTAGCATAAGAGCTCACAACTCTCCTTCAGAAAACATATAAAAAGAGCCCGTACACATTGCACTGCATTGTTGCACAGAACTGAAATCCAACCAAATGAAACACATCCTTCAAGAGTAAATTTGTATGCCTTAAACATATTTTACCTTAGTTGTTTTGAATCAAATATACAGGCGTTAATGCATTTAAAGACCCCATGCAAACGAAAACTAAAAGCAAATGAGGGTTTGAAGAGAAACTGAGTTTTCCAAGCCCTTGTACTCTCACCAAACACTAGAAACGATATCTAGAATGCTATATATAATAAATAAACCTTCTGAAGAGGGAAACTGCACATAAATATAAGAATAACAAATAAAAGTACAATTTCAGGATGTACCAAAAAACTAATTTTACAATATAGTGGCACATTTAAAATTAATTCCCAATGACTCTGTCAGTAAGAATTTGCATACTACAGATTTAAGACAAAGACTTCATTTCATATGAGGCATTTATTTCCTTTTCTGTTGTTTGAGGTAAACTGAAGTACTGTTAAAGACTCTTAAAGGCAATGTCTACTTCCTCTAGCGTCACCCGATTGTGGCACTACCTGACTTTTGATATCCAAAGCATCCAAGGTCACAAACATGCAAGCATGCCCTCAACATTGTCTTTTTTTTTTCTTTTTCCAAAACATCTCACCTGCTGTCACATGTCAAACCTGACATCTGAAGCACAATAACTCTTGCACAACATTGCATGCACGATGGCATAGGCTTAATTTACATAACACGACAAACAGTCAATTCCCAGAATTCAATAAAAAAAAACGCACTTTATAAGACTTTTTTGATTGGTTTTGCAATGATCTAAATGGACGTGTTCAACAAAGAGTGGGAAACCACAGATCTTGAATCGTACCTGTAACTCTAAACCTTTCTTATTTTTCCATCTCTTAAATACTGGGACAGAATTACAATGCCCCTATTTGGTGAACAATTAAACTATGCACGTGTAAAGATAAATCATATTGCACATTTTTAATAAATAATATAATATTTTCCCTTGTCTGGTTTAGAAATACTCAGAAAAAAGTGGGAGTGATTTTGCTTCGCATTAAATTCAAACATGGTTTTCAATGAGGTTAACAAACATAAAACAAGAAACGAAACGTGAGGAGTACAGTAGGGAGCATCGATTCAAGAGCTTCCGAGAAGAACGTAGGAGATGCTAGAAGAAACTGCAGTGGGTCGGTAAAGGGTGTAAGAAGGATGAGTGACGCTGGTGTGCGCGTTCGGTTTCCTCGGGCCAGGCCACTGCAGCAAAGCCCCCTGAACGCATTCCTCTGGCACTGCGAGCACATCTCCCAGTTACACGTCAGATGGTAAATGAGTAAGGCAGCTGCTCTTGCCCATCACGCAAAAGTGCATCATCAAACATTTCCAGTTAAGTCTCTGCCAGAGACCTATGGAGTGGCTGATATTAAGGCTTTCCGTCAGCAGATAAGAGTCACGTTACACTGCATTCTCTTCTTCCGTTTCCATTTTAATGGTAATTTTTCCCCTCAAAATATTTTGTTCTCTTTTGCCAGAGCCACATGATATTAGACCACGTCATTCTCAGGGATGATGCTCTGGGTTTCAAACTCCCATACGTTGATTCTTCAGCTCCCTCTGCCCTCTTGAGACTGCCTGGTACCATTTGGATTTCAGAAAGGTCATTGACACTGTGTGGGTCACCATCCAACACTAAAAGAATAATGGAAGACGGGGTTAAAAGTTACAGTACATCCATAACAAATGCAGATGGGGCTAGTTGTCTCAGAGGCTGTACTGTAGATAGCAGGTGTTTTGGATGTTGGCTTCAAACAAAACTGTAAAAAACTATTTTAAAGGTTGAACGATCTATGGAATGTAGAAATAGACAGAAACAATTAAGGTCAACTTATAGGTCATTTATTATGAGCAAGAAATTATAAATGTTAAGGTTTGTGGTGAGGGGTCAGCTAACAGGTTGCTGAGCTTGCTCAGTTTGATCACTGTTGATGCAAGTTTGTGTTTTTGGAGACTCGTTATGACAAATATTTGTTATTCAGAATTAATAGATGTTTTAGCTCTGTGAAGTGATTATATTTTGTTGTAAAAGTTAAAAATACATATATAAACTTTTCAGTGTCTAGAACTTGATACAACAATTTTTTTGTGAAATATATTCTCTAGTCACCATTGGTAATAATTGATGGTTAAAAAGTGAAAATAAAGAACTATATAATGAAGGTAGAACTTGGGACTTTTGGTACAAGGTTAAAGTCATCAAAGTTTTATTTTATATGTATATACATTATTTAATTTCAATCAACCCTTTCTGAATTAGTTTTTTTGCTTAATTTTATTATATTACTATTATAATTTTGCTGAAAAGCATATAATAGTCTGTTTGACAGCAGACTCTGACAGCTTACCCCATACAATGTGATGACATGCCTCGCTATTACATGGGATGAATGGTCTAAATTTTGACCAAAGGCAATATTACATGCATTGATAAAGCAATGGCAGAATGCATCGCAATGTACTTAGTGTAAAATGTCATCAAAAATCCACAGAGATTATTAAAGAAGTTGTTGAGTATATTTGTCAATACTCAAACAATTCCACCTAAAAACACATTATTCCATCCAATAATTATATATTTTGTCTGAATTTGTTTAGTGAATTTGAATTATATGTTTTATGTCATTTTATCTTGGTTGAATATCCTGTTTCACTCAGAAATATGTCAAATTATGGAGTTGAAATATGTTGCCAATGACAATTCAATATTGATTTTAACATTTTAACTATACCACCATTCAAAAGTTTGGGGTCGGTAAGTCTCTTAAGCACAGCAAGGCTGCATTTTTTAAATAAAAAATACAGTAAAAACAGTAATATTGTGAAATATTATAACAATTTAAAATGACTGTTTTCTATATTAATATATAAAAAATGTAATTTATTTCTGTGATGGCAAGGCTGAATTTTCAGCATCATTACTCCAGTCTTCAGTGTCACATGATCCTTCAGAAATAATTCTAATATGCTGATTTGATGCTCAAGAATCATTTCCTATTATTATCAGTGTTGTGCTACTTAATATTTTTGTGGAAACCGTGATACTTTTTTTTCAGGACTCTTTGATGAATAGAAAATTCAAATCTTTTGTAACATTACAAATGTATACATTGTCATTTAACATTAAAATGATAAAAAACTGACGTCAAACCTTTGAATGGTATACTAAAAAAATTGGTGTAGAAACAATTTTCACTCAAAAAATGCTTGTAAATTTCACAAACAATTACAAAGAAACAGGAAATAACAGGTTGAATTAAACTTGATATTGTGAAGTAGAGAAACTGAAATAGTATTTTCTTATAAAATCTACGTCAATAATCTTTGTGTCATTTACAAATTTGGAAAATCAAGTATAATGTATAAAGATAAAAAAGTTTACCTGAGATGGTAGTGTTTCATGTAAGGAAATGGACAAAAATGATTGCCAATCCAATATTCAAAAGCATCACCATGGCAACCAAAACTGAGTTAGGACCCTGGGTAAAAAGACACATGGTGTAACAATTCCAGCAACAATCCATAAAACACCCATCTGTAAGTATAAACAAGACACTTACAGATTCTTCCGCTACGGTTTCATCGGCCATATCTATGCTGGCTTTCTTGGTTTCAGCTAAGCTCTTTGGTTTGATAGACTCTTGTTTCATGATCTTGGGCTCTGGTTTGGGAGTTGTCGTCCTGACCATTTTGGGTGGTGGAGGCATCCTGGCCAGGCTAGACTGCGTCATCTCAGGCTCTTCATCTTCTGGTTCTTCTGGTGGAGGCAACTGCACCACCGGCTTCACGTAGTAACCGTGATAAGCAGCATGTAGCTGCCCATTACCTGTGCTGGCAGGTTTGGGCTGGGGTTCAGAAGGAGGGGCAGATACTTTGGTGATCTCTGCCACAATGGAGGCTCTCTCTTCTTTGCTTATCTTGCGAGCTACACTACTACTGTCCTTGCTTATCTTTCGGGCTACGCTGCTGTTGTCCTTGCTTATCTTGTGGCTGGCGCTGGGGTTGGGTGCTTGGCTCTGTTGAGGGGAGTGAGGTGGTGACGGGGTTGGGCTCTGGGCAGGAGAGTGGCTTGGAGTCGTGCCGCGCCGATAGAAAGGGCTGCCAGAAGGCTTCACCTTCTCCTTCTCCTTCTTCTTCTCTTTAGGTGCTTCCTCCTTGATCTCCTCCACCGGCTCACTGAACTTTTGTTTGATGTAGTCAAGTCCTGAAAGGGAGGCATAAAATGTTGGACAAAGTCAGGGAAATTGCAATACAGGTCAATACAAGTAAACCAGCAATTTGAAATAATTTATGGCATAATTACAGAAAACAAATTTTGACTGGTCACCAAACTTCACACACATTTAAGTTATAGGTCAACACGGCCAAGGATTAAAAAA